GAATAGTTTGCCTATTAGGCGAAATATCCATTAAAAACCGTAAGTTAGACAAACTGTCCGCTAGGCAATGTGTCTTTAGTCAAACTGTCATTAGACTAAATGTCTTTAGACAGATTGACCAGTCACGATCTCATTGTAATCATTAAATACGCATTGTGTAAAAGATAGATATTGTGCAGAATTTGCAAGCAATTTTCAGCTGAAAACTATCTTAAGGATGTACGGTTTTGAACCTTCTGGCAGAGTGTGTAAGAATGAAGCATGTCAAATAATTTAGCAACGAATTCAACTTTAACATTCTAATGACTGATTGATATGTCAAGCAGCCGTTCGGCTGCTTCTACCAGAGAATATGACGGTGCATTATGGCATATTTACAGAATTTGTTTTGTAGAGTTGCTAGAAGGAGAAGGTAATGAAAGTATCATATACAAAACACAACCTTTGTTGGAGCCAGACACGTGTTTAGGATCCGAGGAGGTGGATCAAGTAAGGTGTTTAACGGTGGCTGAACTCGATGAGGACTACGAGCAATTGCAAGGAGTCCGCTTTCATATTCTTTATTCAGTCTATTATCCTTATCTCATTATCTGTTAAGACTACATCTATATTGTAATATCTGTAATCCGGAATTTTTAAAATAATTCTTCAAAATTATGTGATGGAATATATCCGGATATGCTCTGAAATGGATATCCGGAATACATCCGGATATTCGGAATATCCGGTTATGGTAGAAGTTTCTTTTGATATAATCAGTTGCTGAGTTTGGAAACCGATAATAGGCCGTATTCGAAGAATACGTTCCAGTCTGAACAGAGTATGTAACATTTTCGAGATGAAGAAGAAATTAACGATTCATTTCAGTCACATATAATGCTGTGGAATCTAGTGGCACTCAACATAATAATTGCATTATTTTTAATACCATTAACGTGTATTTTCTGCAATGAACCAATGCGAAGTAACCGCAATTACAAGCTCTTTTACAGGGTATACATCTTATCATTTTCTATTCTCACAATACAATCTTATCATATTTTACTACCAGAATCTCTTATGATCTTTATTGGAACGGTTGAAAATCCCTATGAACTTCAAAAAATTTTCGTATTCCCATCCGGAATTCCGATTAACCCAATCGAATATCTCAAAGATATAATAGAGCAGAAAGCAATCTTTTATCTCAGTTTATTCCAATTACAGTTTGAAACGGAATGATATAATATTTCGAATCAGTTTCTAGCAAGATGTAGTCCGTTCGATTCTCGATGTAGTTTCCTTTCGATTGAGTCGGATTCCTTGAAATTCTTCTTTAAATTACCTTAAAACACTCCTAATTTTGTAATTCCACTCAAAAACCATTAAACTTCCACATACTGAAATCTATATCACGTCGTAATTCAGATCATTATATTACTTGCGCTTTTATTTTTGCTCGTTCAATTGGTATTTCTCATCAGTCCACTACTTTCGAACGCCTATTATTTCCCGTCATTGGTCGATAAGCTGTTCTTGCATAAACTACCAAGGTTGCAGAATTTATCACTCATTTTAACTACTTTTTCGATTTGAATCCGTTCAATTTTATTCTCAAAATAAGTTTATCAGTACTCGAAATCATTGTATTTTAGTCTAATATTACAAAAACAAAAACATTTATTCATGAGTTTAGCATAAAATTTATGAAATTCCTAACGAATTTCGAGAATTCACTAGGGGTTTTAGAGACTGTTCGTCAAAATTGTTTCTTATTCTTACGATAAAATGAAATTTATGCTATTTTGCAAAAATCGCCAGTAATATGGTTTCGAAATAACTTTGATTTGATGTGTAAGTGAGAATATTTCAATTCTTTTTTTAATTTCAGGGATCATGCCTTAGTGAGTAATGTGGAAACAAATTTCGGTTGTAAATTTGATTATATACCACAACTTGTGGAACTGAATATGCAAGTGAGTTGAATTCTGACATAATTTTACTTGTCATTATGCTGTTATCGTGATGCAATATTATTGCCTCAGTCGTTTCCAGTATTATTTCTGTCATCAGATTCTCATCGCCCATTGCAGTTTCAAAGCTATCACCATTAACACCTTATCACTTATTATTATTGCAGACTGGTAGCTCAATACCATTTTTTTGGTTTCGCAACAAAAGTATTCATAG